ATTTTTAAAAATAATTTATGTGTATTCGGCCAGGTGTGGTGGCTCACACCTATAATCCCAGCACTTTGGGAGGCTCAGGTGGGCACATCATGAGGTCTGGAGTTCAAGACCAGCCTGGCCAACATGGTCAAACCCCATCTCGACTAAAAATACAAAAATTAGCCAGGTGTGCTGGCATACACCTGTAGTCCCAGCCACTTGGGAGATTAAGGCAGGAGAATCACTTGAATTCGGGAGGCGGAGGTTGCAGTGAGCCAAGATCATGCCACTGCACTCCAGCCTGGGTGACAGAGCAGGACTCCAACTTAAAAAAAAATTAATAAAATAATTGGTATGTATTCTTTCCCCACTCTGCACCGCAAATATATTCTTTTACATTTTCTTTCAGTAACCTTATAGTTTAACTTTTTACATTTAGGTCTTCTTGATTCCTCTAGAGTTCATCCTTGTTTTAATTATTATTATTATTATTATTTTTTTTTTTTGAGACGGAGTTTCACTCATGTTACCCAGGCTGGAGTGCAATGGCGCCTATCTCGGCTCACCGCAACCTCCGCCTCCTGGGTTCAGGCAATTCTCCTGCCTCAGCCTCCTGAGTAGCTGGGATTACAGGCACGCACCACCATGCCCAGTTAATTTTTTGTATTTTTGGTAGAGACGGGGTTTCACCATGTTGGCCAGGATGGTCTCGATCTCTTGACCTCGTGATCCACCTGCCTCGGCCTCCCAAAGTGCTGGGATTACAGGCGTGAGCCACCGCGCCCGGCCCTTGTTTTAATTATTAAGGATCCAATTTATTTTTCTCTTTAGTCAGCCACTTTTATCATATATCAAATTCTGATGTATGCAAGGGTCTGTCTCTGAACTTGTATTCTGTTCCACTGATATATTTGTCTGTTCTTGAACGAGTTGATTTTTATGATACTTCGTAGCAAGTTTAAATTTCTGGAAGAGCAAGAGACTTCTTGTTACTTTTTCTGTTCATTGTAGACTTAATATTTGTTTCCTTTCATTTTGTTCTCACTCCGTTGCTTAGGTTGGACTGCAGGGCTATGATCTCGGCTTACAGCAACCTCTGCCTCCCGAGTTCAAGCCATTCTCCTGCCTCAGTCTCCCGAGTAACTGGAAATATAGGCACGTGCCACCATGCCTGGCTAATTTTTGTATTTTTAGTAGAAACAGAGTTTCACCATGTTGGCCAGGCTGGTCTCGAACTTCTGACCTATAGTGAACCACCCACTTCGATCTCCTAAAGTGCTGGAATTACAGGCGTGAGCCACTGCGCCCGGCCTATCACTCCTATTTTATAGATGAGATGGTCGAAGCCTAAGAATGAAGTCCTGAATGAAGCTGAATTAGAACGTGGAATATTCCATCTGCCTTAAGTCTATAAATTCATGGTCTGATCTGTATAATAATCAGTGACCAATTACTTTATAAATAACACTGCAAGTTTCCAAAGTTAATTTATGTATTAGTTTTCAGACCTCAGAACATTTTCCTGTAGAAACAAACAAGTTGGTTGGGTTTTCTTTCTTTCTTCCTTCCTTCCTTCTTCTTTCTCTTTCTTTCTTTCCTTCCTTCCTTCCTTCCTTCCTTCCTTCTTGCTTTCTTTCTTCTTTCTTTCTTTCTTTCTTTCTTTCTTTCTTTCTTTCTTTCTTTCTTTCTTTTTCTTTTCTCTCTCTCTCTCTTTCTCTCTTTCTCTCTCTCTTTCTTTTCTTTCGAAACAGAGTGTGGATCTGTCACCCAAGCTGGAGTGCAGGGGCGCAGTCTTGGCTCACTGCAACCTCCGCCTCCCGGGTTCAAGCAATTCTCCTGCCTCAGCCTCCCTAGTAGCTGGGACTACAGGCACATGCCACCAGGCCCAGCTAATTTTTCTATTTTTTGTAGAGACAGGGTTTCATCATGTTGGCCAGGATGGTCTCCATCTCTTGACCTTGTGATCCACCTGCCTCAGCCTCCCAAAGTGCTGGGATTACAGGCATGAGCCCGCACCCGGCCGGGTTTTCTTTTTTTTTTACTTTTGAGATGGAATTTTGCTCTTGTTGCCCAAGCCGGAGTGCAATAGTGCGACCTCGGCTCACTGCAACTTCTGCTTCCTGGGTTCAAGCGATTCTCCTGCTTTGGCCTCCCAAGTAGCTGGGATTACAGGCATGCACCACCACGCCTGGCTAATTTTGTATTTTTAGTAGAGACAGGGTTTCTCTATGTTGATCAGGCTGGTCGCAAACTCCTGACCTCAGGTGATGTTGGCTGGGTTTTCATATGAAGTTGTTTAACTCTTAATATCATCATCCACCATCCCATACTGTAGTGTATATCACCTAATATCACCCATTCTTCCAACCAGACTTGACCTTTCAAACTCTTTCACTGTGACCTCTGGACTCAGTGTCTGCCATCATCCTTATATGCCCAACCTCTTCTCTGAACCTCTCTTTCCTAGACCTTACTGAAACCTGGCACCTAGAGGGCACACTTCATCGGTCTTTGCATATTGCAGAGTCTGGAGTTGGGAGTATTGCTCTCTAGCGCTGCATCTAGACCCTTATTCTTCATCTTCAAAATCCTCTGCTCTTTGAAATTAATGTCTCAAATTATATGATCTGCTGCCTCTACTTGTTGCTAGGGTCTTCAAACCTAGTTGTTCACCCACATTCCCTGATAACATTAGCACCTGGCTCATCTTGTTTCTCTTTTCACCTATTTTGCTAACATCATCATTGATAACTTCAGAATCTATCAGAGCAGTACACTGTGGCCTCTCAGCTCCTCAGTCTCTTCTCCAGTGATCTTTCTCTTCAGCCCATCCTCAGACCTCTACCCTAGGCTTTTTCATCTCCAAAACAAACTCTTCTGATTTTTTTTTTTGAGATGCAATCTCACTCTGTTGCCTAGGCTGGAGTGCAATAGCTCGATCTTGGCTCACTTCAACCTCCGCCTCCTGGGTTCAAGCGATTCTCCTGTCCCAGTCTCTCAAGTAGCTGGGATTACAGGTGTGCACCACCATGCCCAGCTAATTTTTGCATTTTTAGAGACGGGGTTTCACCATGTTGGCCAGTTTGGTCACAAACTCCTGACCTCAAGTGATCCACCCACTTTGGCCTCCCACAGTGCTGGGAGTTTACTCGTGTTGCCTGGGCTGGAGTGCAGTGGTATGATCTCCGCTCACTGCAACCTCTGCCTTCTGGGTTCAAGTGATTCTCACCTCCCAAGTAGCTGAGACTACAGCCGCCCACTACCATGCCTGGCTAATTTTTGTATTTTTAGCAGAGATGGGGTTTTACCATGTTGCCCAGGCTGGTCTCGAACTCCTAACCTCAAG